CCCCAAAAAAAAAAACATGCACGTTTTACTTCAACAAAAGTCAACTAAAATGGATTAATGCAAAGCATTTTCAGATCGTGATTATTCTTGAATCGGGGTTCGGCGACAGAGAGTTGTGGCATAGTTATTCGAATTTGTCGTTCATTCAAAGTGCTAGCGAGCCCATGTGTCCCAGTCACACACTTGCAATCCTTAAATAGTCGTCTTTTGTGGTTCAGGCGTTAAATTTAAAGGTGCCAGACAGAATAAAATCTTTCAGAGGTGAATAATTTTGACGCCAAAACAGCTAAAATTAGCAAAAGACGGTCCTAAAAGGTAATAAATAGTGGACTTATTAGTTCAGACGCCTTTTCCACAAGTAACATGATTAACCTAAGTTAGTTCTCACATGCATAGTGATAGCTAATGGCAAGGGAAAACAAGATAATCATATACCTCCATCCTGGCCTTTAGAAATGGAACCCGACTTCTTCCTGCCGGGGTCTTCTTCGGCGGCTCCAAGCAAAGCGAAGATGATGCCAGCCTGAGAATTGATACCGACAGCAGTAATGACGATTCGACCTGATCCCTCAACGACATGGGTACCTGAAGAGAGACCAAAAATATGCGGAGTGAAAGAGCACACCAGAAGACTAGCTCGTGAAAACAGAAATGCGAAAGAGAAAGGCACACTAACTCTGAAGAAAAAAACAGCAAGACAGTTCCGTTCTAGCATTCCAAGGGGTCCACAACCAGGAACACGGATGGTAAGGTAAAATCTATAGACGTAATAAATCGGACGAGAGCGCCTGCGAGATATGGTGACCCCGACGGTGAACACATACATCTGAGTAATGGTAATTAATAACAAAGGAACCTGAAAGTGTTGACGAATGCTTTCGGTACACTGGCGTCAAATTACACTTCCTCTTCCCCATCTGGTTTTGCGCCAAGGTCATGGTTTTGAAATTCCATACTTCATTTGCTTTACATGGGTGCGCTGGGAATAAAAGCCCCAACATTCCATTGAGGCTCGGCGCTGGCAGGCATGGTCTCTTTTGCAAATGTTGGGTTACTTGTGCTCAGTGCATCTTCTACTTCCCAGTTCTCGCTTTCAGGATTAAATCACCATCAAGCCATATGGCTCAGCCATCTGCTGACTTTTAGGTATAAACGCTAAGGCAGCAACAATTTTCTTTTTCACTTTAACACTAGCAACGAGTGCTTTGCCAATGCGAGTTAAGGCTTAACTTATTTTTAAACAGAAGTTTCCGTGAATGCTTTAATACGTATTTATTCACCATAGTAACAGAAAATGCACTCATACATATTTTCAAAAAGTAAACAAAACAAAGTAGATATCCGATCTAGTGTCAAATGGGTAAGTTTCTAAGCAAGAAGAAAAAAAACGTCAACAAATGGTAAAGCAATCGGGTTTTAATGCGTATTTTTCGCTATCACAACAGTGCTGATCGATAGTATAACGCCACATAACGTAACTTAATTGGGAGAGAATGCCTCCCAAGACGGCACAAGGCTCAATCATGTCTTGATCAGACATGCAAGTGGAATGAATTTTAATCTGATCGATGCTGACTGACATAACATTCATGATGTCTTAATAGCTGGGCGCTAATAACGTAATAATCTCAGTTTATGAAAGTTAAAAACAGTCACACCGAACTTGACGCAATCGAAATAGTGTATGATTATACATTAAATGAAATGAATAAAATACAAGAAACCGTCTACGAGACTCGTCCAATGAAAGATGGCGTTCTTAATTTCACTGAACAAAAACCTAACCAAACAGGCAAGACAGTAGTCCTTACCTAGAGCCATCGGTTTCATTTAAAACCACTGAACCACAGTAACACAGATACATGCAAAACTAGATTACGAAGGGCGGAACGTATGTCTCATTTTCTGTGAATACAGTTGGCTCGGACATCGATTCGTAAAGATTGGCGGGTAATTCAACAACCGCCAAATCTCAATCTATGTCTTTTTCCGAACCAATGAGCTAGAAGTTCCGAAAACATACGGGCCGCTCGAAGGAGACTGACTTACGCAGAAAAACTAGCATTTAAATGTGCTTATATCTCCACACTGAGTCCGCCTGTACGGAGAGATAGAGACCATATAGAGTGTGGTATGGGGAAGTTAACGAACGCCATTAGTTGGAAACCAGGCTCCAAGAAAAGCTTTTTTGCTGTCACGAGATAAGTAACAGGAAACTCATTAATCCACCTTTTGAAATTTCGTGATCGCCGAAGGTAAGTTTCTATTGTCCATTTTACCAGTTAAGGACTTAGGAGGTTTTGCACGGCCTTGACGTAAATCAAAT